AGGCCACGGTGTTCGTCCTGTCGGTGGCGATCGTGCTGGCGCCCCTGTCGCTCATCCTGGCCTCCTACGTCCTCATCGCCCGCGCGGTGCTGCGCCTCGGCTCGGCAGGGCGGGCCAAGGCCCTGCACACGTGCGGGGCACACCTGGCGGTGGTGGCGTTGTTCTACGGCAACATCGTCTGCACGTACATGCAGCCGGGCGGCGCGGGCGCGCAGGGCAGGTTCCTCACACTCGGCTACAGCCTGGTCACCCCCGCGCTGAACCCCGTCATCTACACGCTCAGGAACAAGGACGTGAAGGGCGCGCTCAGGAGGCTCGTGGCCAGCACGCGCGGCGACCAGGCCCTGTCCTGAGGCGCGGCCCTCACTTCCCGGAGATCTCTGCGGGCCACCCCGGGGCCGTCGCCCGTGAGTGGGAAGCCGCGGGCCCGCTCCGCGTCCCTGCGTCCTTTCCACGCGGCCATGTTGAGCGAACCCAACAACACCCAGCTTCTGCACCGGCCACCGGCCCAGACCCAGCCCTCTGCAAACCAGACGTCCCCTACTCTCTCCTGGTGGTTCAGTTGTCGCTCACCGGCCTGCCAGTGGAACCCAGCACTTGGCCACACCGTCTTCTGGTGGGTATGAGTGTCGTTATATGGAGCAGGTGGAGGTCAGTGGACATGGCTCACCTCATCACTTACAGTTTCATGTTTTCTCTGGAGACCAGCAGATGGCCTGGCCGTTTCGCGCTGGACTCCCACACCGGCAACTGTGGTCGAGTCCTGGACCCGGTGTCTTCAGCCTCACACCAGGTGCGTGTGTGCACGTGCCCAAGACCCCAGGGGAACAGAGGAGAAGGGACTGTGACATGGCCATCCCCCGGGGTGATCTCTGTTACAAAGCCAGCTCCAACAATCTGCTTCTCACACGTGCAAACACGGGTGGCAAAGCATGACATAAAGTCACCGTCACGGAGCCAGAGCAGGCGAGGACCCTGCTGTAAGGGCTGTCAGAGGCCCTCTGAGGCTCTGGTCCTTAGCGAGGGGCGGCAGCCTGGTCAGTGCCCTTGTCAGTGACCCTCGTCAGCCCACCTCTGTGGTCCAGGCTCCTGGGAGAGTCCTAGAGACCGAGGGCTTTAAGTCGTGAGCTTTGGTCTCTCGCAGGTCTAGGGGCTGGTGGCAGGTGCTGGGCCAGAAAGCGGCCATGTCCTCACATGGCCTTCCATGGTTCGGCTCGGAGAGGCTCTCCACCCTTCCCCAGGACACTGAGCCCATCGCAAAGGCCCCACCCTCCTAAAGCACCGTGGCACCAGGCTGAGTGGGGAACAGAGACAGCGAGTGTATCGAGACAGGGCACAACCAGAGGACTCAAAGCCGGCAGGTGGGGGCAGCCCGCGGTCCTAGGGAGGCCCAGCACTGAGGGCTCCAGGCCACGCTCTACACGGCAGGCGTGTAGGTCTGGCTTCACCGGGACAGCTTAGCCAGTGCCCTTCGCCACTCCATGGATAGGCTGCTCCCTCCAGGTGTCTGACTCTCTCCCTGAGGGAAGCGAGAGCAAAGGTCCTCACCTCCCAGAAACACCACCACGCCGCCCGCCTGCTCTGGAAGGCCATGGTTCCTACCAGAGAGGGGTGAAGGCCCAGAACGGGGACGAGGAACCCTGGGGCCCCAAAACGGCAGTCCCACCACCACAGCAGGCAGGTGTTTCTGGGGCTGAAGTGCATTGCCACGGAGCCCACGTGCCCTCAGGAAAGAGATAGAGACACACAGAGACAGTGAGAGGGAGAGATTACCCCTCGGGGGATGGACACTCCGCAGTCCCTTCTCCTGGATTTTGGGCACACACACCCACTCGGTGTGATGCTCAGGCTGCCCGTTCCAACCACGTGGGAGGTCAGTGCCTGTGGTCTCCGCAGCCACCTGCTGCTCCCGTAAACTCACTATGAAGAACAGGGCAAGGGACCAGCAGATGGCATTAATGGTTAACGTCGCGTGACTCCCACATCGTCGACCACATTTCCAGTCCCAGACCAGGCAGCTTAAAACTCACGCCGGGTGCATGTTTGTGCGTGTCTGTACTCCCAAGAGGAGAATGGAGAAGCTACTGAGGCATAGCCACCCCCCGGGGTGAGTTCTCACTCTCTATCGCTCTGTCTCTCCAGCGAGCGCACACACCCTATATATAGCAAAAAATCTCTCTCAAAAATAAATAAATAAATAAATAAATAGGTAGAAAGTTGAGGCTGAAGAAGTAACTCAGGCTGGGAAGCGTTCGACTGGGTAATGCCTGTTGTTTGGACGCCTCTCGGGAGTGGAGCAGCAGAGGTGTGCTGTCCTCCTGGGAGTTCACGAGCAGCTTCTGGATCCTGAACTTCCTTGCATCTCCCTGGAGAGCCACCTGCCAGGCACACTCGCTCCCAGCTGCACTTGGGAACCCTGGGAGAACGTAGTCCTCATGCCGAGGCTGGGGCCGGAGCCCAGGGAGCTGCCAGGAGGGGCCCAGGGGCCTCGGGGAGCCCTACATGTCGAAGTGGGCGTTGCAGTCACTCGCGCTCTCTCGCAGCAAAGGAGCCAGCCAGCCTCGCCCACCTGCCTCCTAGGAAGGGCCACATTCTCTTGTCTCCCATGCCTCTGAGTGAGACCAGGAAGCCCGCGTCCTGCCCAGAGACCTGACCCGAGCTCCCGGTAAGCGCGTCCCTCCTTAGACGGCGAGAGAGGCCCAGCCTCCACTCCGTCACCAGGCGTCCCTGACACGCTGCAGGCACCCATGGCCATGTGCAGGGCGAGCGGACGACTTGGTCATTAGCGGGAGCCTGCGAGGGGCGAAGTCCAGTCCAGTACTGGCTTGGTGAGCGGAGGGCTGGATCTCAGGACTTAGTGTCTAAATACGGAGATAACGTGGCGCAAGGGTCGCGGCTGCGGACAGCTGGTGAGGAGTCCTTGATGATGGCAGCGCCACAGTTTTTCTATCTTGATGAAAAATTTACCATTTCCTGTAAGTCACAGCCTTCCTGGTTCCGTGTACTCTAAGTGCTTTGTCACGTTTTCAGCAGTGGAAAGTCTTGCCTCGTCGAAAACCAGGGCAAGTAGTGTCTTTTTAGTTTTTATTAATTGCAGAGGGTGAGTGGGCTTCCCAGAGACAGAGAGTGGAGACAGAGAGGGAGAGGGAGACAGCACCCCACGGCGGTGGCCACACCACAGCCCCTTCTCCCATCCTGTCAGGGTCTGGGCATGGGCGCACAAGCACCTGGCAGTCACCAAGACCTGAGCCACGCCAGGGGCTGAGTGGGGTCGCGCTCCCTTCACCACTGGCTCCGAGGCTGACCTGGAAGGGCGGGTCCCTTTACCCTGACCACTGCGACGACCCGCATGCCGATGAACGCGATCAATGCTCATGACTCACCATTGGAATTACCTCCAGAATTTCTGTCCTGTGGCTTATTGAAATAAAGCCCCTTTTCCTCGTGCAAGGATAGTTCTAGAATGTTTCCTTCTTACATTTTCTGTTAATTGATGTTTCAGTATTCAGGTGGGTTCTCTAACAGAATCAGGCAGAGATTAGAATAATAGTTGGTAACAGTCATGGGTGAGATAAAAGAAAAACAAATACCAGGAAAAAGTAGCCGTGACTGAAAGAGGTCGGAGGATGAGGCCTGGAAAGCCGATGGACATGAGCTGGCCAGAGAGGAGCCTGCGTCCTCGGGGCTGAGGTTAGGGAGACCCTGACTCCAAGGGAGACAAGCAAGGCAGACCTTCTGAGGCCACGAGACTGGAGCGGGCCTGGAGAGAGGAGCCCGTCACCTCTGCTAGAAAAACCGGGCTCCCAACCTGGGCGGTGACGGAGGCGGTCTGTACGCTCTCCAAAACCCTACAACCGAGAAAGGGTCGTGAAAACACAGAGCCTTCGGCCTTGGGTCAGAGCCACAGAACCGCACAGGCAGGGCTGCCGCGACGGAGCTCCCGGAGTCTGTAAACGGCACAGGTTGGTGTTCAGGACTCTGGCGGTTCCTGCCCTCGGTACTAGCAGCTGGGTGGGGTCCTTGCTCTTGTAAGGGGCAGGAGACGTGATGGTGAGAGCCAAGAAGACGACTGTGCCAGCCAGAATGGCTGGGGGAGGGCTCCAGTTGGAATTTCAGAGAATTCCAACAGGACCAAAACCGCACAGATGTCAAATTTCAGTGTGTGTCGGAAAATCTAGGGATGAAAAGTTGCTCACAGCGAGTCACAGAGAGGTGCGGAAGGGGTCACGCTACGGAGCTGGGACTTGGGCCCAAGGCAGACACCACTGGACGCTGTGAGGCGGTAAGTGGGAGCCTCTGATTTCAGCAGGTTTTCGAGGTTTTTTTGAGGTTTCTGCCATAGGGTGCGTGTGCTCACCGGAGAGAGACAGAGAGAGGGAAAGTGAGAAATCAGCCCCAGGGGGATGACCACACCACAATCAAATCTCCTTCATTCTCCTTTAGGGGTTTTGGGCACACATGTACATGTACCCAGTGTGATTTGGGATTTGGGGCACACACTCCCAGCATGAATTTTAATCTGCCGGCTCCAGGACTCAAACCACAGTCAACTACGTGGGAGTCCAGTGACATAACCATTACACCTCTGCTGGTCCTCAGGTTTACCTTTTTACAAAAGAAAATTAATGTATTTTCTTTTTAATCTTTAAGAGATAAGATAGTTTACCCTTATCTTATGGATCTTAAATGGGAGGCAGCTGACTGGTCGCATGGTGTTGCACAAATATTTGGGAGATTTTTGTCAGAGGTCCCAGTGAGGAAGAGCAGAGGTGAAGGCTGCCGATGAGGTGGAAGCACCTGCCCAAGGCTGTGGGGCCTGATGGGGAATGTCTGAGGGGAGATCAGCCAGCTGAGGTAGATGGGACCAGCCTGGGGGAATATACCAAAAATGCCGAGAAGAAATTCTTTTCTTTAAAGAATTATCTATTCAATTCTATTTATTCATTCATTTCTTTCAATTTGATCAGAAAGAGAAAGAGAAGAGGGAAAGTGGGAAAGCAATCCACCAGATCTGGGACTCGAACCACAGTCAGCCACGTGGGAGTGTCCAGCGCCTTAACCACCACGCCACTTGCTGATCCCAAGAAAAAATTCTTTTTACTGGCAAGACTATTTCATTCTTGGGGCCAGCAGATGGCATAGTGGTTATGTTGCTGGACTCCCACATGACCAACTGTGGTTCAAGTCCCGGACCCTTAAAAGTCATGCTGGGCACATGTGTGTGTGTGTACAGATCCTGGGAGGAGAGTGGAGAAGACGGGATTGTGGCATGGCCATTCCCCCCAGGGGTGATTTCTCACTCTCCCTCTCACTGTCTCAGTCTCTTAGAGAGACAGGCATGCACCCTAAGGCAAACACCTCTTTAAAAATAATAGTATTTCATTCTCTGGGGCTTCATGCAGATATATCCCAGCGATGGAGAAAGGGAACCAGACCAGCGTCTCCGAGTTCCTTCTCCTGGGCTTCCGGAGCTGGCCGGGGCCGCAGGCCCTCCTCCTGGTGCTCTTCCTGGGTCTCTACTCTGCAGGGCTCTTGGGAAACGTGGTCATCTTGCTGGCCATCGGCTCCGACCGCCGCCTGCACACGCCCAGGTACTTCTTCCTCGCCAACCTGTCCTTCGTGGACCTCTGCCTTCCCTCGGCGACAGTCCCCAAGTTGCTCCTGAACCTGCAGACCCAGACGCACGCCATCTCCTACGCCGGCTGCTTGGCTCAGACGTACTTCTGCGTGATGTTCGCCAACATGGACAACTTCCTCCTCACCGTGATGGCATACGACCGCTACGTGGCCATCTGCCACCCTCTGCATTACGCGGCCGTCATGCCCGGGAGCCGCTCTGTCTCCCTGGTGGCTGTGCCGTGGGCCGTTGCCACCCTGAACCCTCTCCTGCACACCCTCATGATGACCCGCCTGCACTTCTGCTCCAACAACACCGTCCGCCACTTCTTCTGTGACATCAGTGCCCTGCTCCGCCTCTCCTGCTCCGACACCAGCCTCAACCAGCTGCTGGTCCTGGCGGTGGTGGGGCTGATCTTTGCGGCCCCCTCGGCGTGCATCCTGGCATCCTACGCCTGCATCTTCTTCACTGTGATGAAAATCCCTTCCGCCCAAGGAAAGCGCAAGACTTTCTCCACCTGCGGCTCTCACCTGGCCTTGGTCCTTCTCTTCTATGGGGCCATCACCGGGGTCTACCTGAGCCCCTCCTCCACCCACTCGGCCGCACAAGACTCGACTGCGTCGGTGGTGTTCATGGTGGTGGCCCCTGTGCTGAATCCCTTCATTTACAGCCTGAGGAACGAGGAGCTGAAAGGGGCTTTAAAGAAGATGCTAGGCCGCAGCACGACCTCCCAGTGAGCCACACCAGCAGGCCGCCGCACACGGAGGACAGTCTAGTCAGACCGCCTTTCGTTCTCACCCGGACTGTGAAGTCGTTGGCAACAATTCCATTTCTGATGGATCTGCAGCCCAGGAGTGGTCCCTAAGTTATCGACGTGGACGAATGTTTGAGTACGACACCCCTCAAAGCCAGGACGGAAACATGAACCCCCAGTCTGAACGCACATCAGGGCCTCGCACCCGACCCCACCTACAAGAGACCGTCTCCTCTCAGAGTGGGCAACCAAGCTGAGGCATGGAAACTCCCGGAGAACAAAGCACCACCCAACGGAAGGGTCCAGCTGTAACTGCAATGTTATGTCAAAGGGAGAAGATCGGGGCCAGCAGGCAACGTGGTTATTAGGGAACCAGACTCCCACATGGCCAACTGTGGTTCGAATCCTGGACCTAGCAGCTTGCTTTCTCTCTCTGTGTGTCTCTCTAGTGAGCACATGTGCCCCACAGCAAATTTTTAAAAAGTAATAATTAATAAAATTAAATAATATGGTTTTTTTCTTTTTTTTGGAGAGGTTGTTTTTTTTTTTTTCTTATTGGGCACGTGCACTCGCCAGAAAGACAGAGAGATACAGAGAGATAGAAAGTGAGAAATCACCCCCCAGGGAGGATGGCCATGCCACAATCCCTTCTCCTCTATTCTCCTCTCGGGCTCTTGGGCACACACGCACACGTGCCTGATGTGAGTTTAAGCCACCAGGTCCGGGACGCGAACCGCGGTCGACTACATAGGAGTCCAGCAACATAGCCATTATGCCAACTGCTGGTCCCTAAATAATATGTTTTTAAAAGGAGATGATACTGGGAGGACTTACAAGAAAAAAGATGGCGTTTAATCCGGATCTTGGACATGAGTGGGTTTTGTGTCAGAATGATGGAAATTGGCAAAACATCCAGCCCCATGGGAGCAGGCCGTGCTGGGGCTGGAGTCTGGATACCTGGTCACCCTGAAACACACCCAGCACACTCACACGTGAGCCCTGGTCCCGGGGCAGAGGAGGAGACCCCGTGGAAGGTGCCCCCCCTTGCTCCTTCTCTCAGTAAAGTAAATAAACTTAAAGCACTCCCACATGAGAAAGAAGATACGCAGATACGCGACATGGCAGGCTGAGTTACGCTGAGTGTGGCAAGTAGGCGTGTAGCCCGCCGGTGTGCCGCGCTGGGCGCTGGGCGCTGCACATGCAAGCTGCTGCCAGGCTCCCCACTGCCCCTCTTCCCTGCACCGCCCGTCCCTGGAGAGGCAGGGAGGCCACACCTCACTGGTCAGGCAGGACGCCCGGCAGGTGTAAAGGAGAATGCTCATCATAAACATTTTCAGGAACTACAATTCATCTAATTGATTAAGGATCCAACTGAAAAGTTACAGAGAGACAACTCTCTCACTGAGAGAGTGAGAAGAAACTGAGATAAAAGCAGAAATTAATAAATCAGAAAAAATTAAAAACTTAAAAAATAGTACCAGTAGATGGCGAACTGATTACATCACAGGACTCCTGCTTGGCCAGCCACAGTGAGAGTCCAGACCTGGAGGTAAAACTCACACCGGGCCCATGTGTGTGCGTGCATGCCACGGCCTAGTGGCTAAGGCTGCGGACCCCACATGGCCAACCATGCGATCTGAGTCTTGGACCTGGCAGCTTGAGAAACACGGGTCCATGTGCGTGCATGCCCAAAATCCCGAAAGGAGGAGAAGCTGGAAAAGGAACCGCACTATGGCCATGCCGATGGGTCATGCTCCCACCTTCCTCTCCGTCTCACTCTGGGGAGCTGATACAGCCTCTAGCAATAAATGGTTAAGGACATAAATAAATCCAAGAGAGGTTTTTAAACTATTTTTTCTTGTTCTTCTTTTTTTTTTTTTTTTTGAGAGAGAGAGATTTTTGCTATAGGGTGCATGCACTCATGAGAGAGACAAAGAGACAGAAGGAGAAATAATCACCCCCTGGGGGGATAGCCACACTGCAATCTCTTCTCTTCCATTATCCTCGTGGGATTTTGGGCATTCATGCACACACACCCAGCATGAGTTTTAAGCCACCGGGTCAGGGACTCAAACCTTAGTTGACTAGGAAGGAGTACAACATAACCATTATGCCACCTGCTGGTCCCGAACCATTTTTTCTTTATTCGTGATAGAGCACACACATCCACTTGAGAGGAGAGGGATGAGCCACCAGGTCCAGACCTTGAACCACAGTTGACCATGTGAGAGCCCAGCGCCTTAACCACCACACCACCTGCCTGCCAGCCCTGGCATTACAGTCTATAAGCCCACTTTCAGAATGAATGAATGCAATGTTATATTCACAATTGGAATGTTATACAGCAATGAACATTAATTTTGACTCAACAGTACAGCTCCATCTTAGTGATGCAGGAAGTAGGGTGTTTGGGCCCACCAACAGTGCCAAATTAAGGACTGAAAGATGACCAGGTTCTTTGTCTCATACTCACAAAGAATTAGAGACATGGACACAGAGAAGTAATAGTAAAGCAGAGTTTATTAAGAGAGGAGAGAAGCAGAGCTCCCAATCAGGGAGAGAGTCCCAAGGATGGGTTGCAGAACAGGAGCTGGGATGGGGAATTTTTATTCCAGCAGGGAGGGATTTGTGCATGCATTTCCCTCGTGGAAGCCACGTATCAGGAGATTCGTGTCATTCTTCTTCTCCTATTTGGGAGTGGGCTCACAAATCTCAAGACTTTAGACATTCAGATCTCAATTAATTAACTGAGGTCTGTGGCCCTAAAGTTTCTCATTTTTGTTATGTTTTCTAAGCTTTGTTCTTTGATGTGTTTTCCCTTATGCTTCCAAAATGTAATCTCATTAAACCCCCTTATTGTGAAAGGCAGTTAGCTAGAAGTGAGCAGGCAACCCTAGTGAGCAGGACACCTGTCACAGCATTCACAACTTATCAAGAGTTACAACCAGACCATCTGCAGAGACTCCTTCCTCCCACCTAGCTCCTAGTGCAGGAAGGCGAAAAGATCTCATTTTTTTTTTTCCCTGCTTTAGTTCCTAATGAAGACAGAAAGGGATGGTTGATAATTTCCCTCTTATTATTTATTTTTTTGAGAGGTTTTTGCTATAGGGCACGTGGGCTCGCTAGACAGACAGAGAGAGACATAGAGACAGAAAGCGAGGCCACATGCGCTCGCCAGAGAGAGAGACATAGAGACAGAAAGCAAGAAATTACCCCCCAGGGGGAATGGTCATGTCGCAATCCCTTCTCCTCCATTCTCCTCTCAGGATCTTGGGCACGCAAGCACACGTGCCCGGCGTGAGTTCCAAGCCACTGGGTCCGGGACACGAACCACAATTGACTATGTGGAAGTCCAGCGACATAGTTCCCCCCCCCTTTTTTTTTTGGAGAGGTTTTTTGCTATAGGGCGTGTGCGCTTGTCAGAAAGACAGAGAGAGACAGAGAGATAGAAAGTGACCACGCCACAATCCCTTCTTCTTCATTCTCCTCTCGGGATCTTGGGCACACACACACATGCGCCCAGCATGAGTTTAAGTCACTGGGTCTAGGACTCAAGCCACGGTCGTCTACATGGGAGTCCAGTGACACAGTCATTATGCCAACTGCTGGTCCCCCTCTTATCATTTCTTATAATACAACAAGGCCCAGAATAACGATTTCCTATCCTCAAGGTTCACACTGGGCAAGCACAATTAGGTAATCAAACTCCTCGCCTGTTAGAAAGATGCACAAGCACAGGAGAAAGCGCACACATTCAAAGAACACAGATACTCTGACAGCCCTCCCACTGCTAGATAGTCACAATCTCCTCCAGTAACAAAAATAACACCTAGCCAGTTCCAATGCAGTTGCTCCCTAGCAACCTACCTGCCCCAAAGTCTTTTGAGTGTACTTCTTTTCTAAAATCCCTTCTTTCCCATTAAATACTCTCTTCTCCCTACTTTAATCGTGGCTGTGGCATTATTTGGCGCCTCAGGCCAGGTCTCTGATTTTCAAGGATTTTACACAACACAGCTCAACTCTCCCATCCTGAAACACTGTCTCGCAGGTGCCCGTTTTGCACAGACCGCTCAAGATCCTTTGCTCTCTTGCTCTCCAGATTATGAGAGCCCCACTCTTTGGGATGTAGCAATGTCATGGATAATGCTCGCTTTAGCTGTCACCACTTCAAGCAGGCGCAAGAGGCTTTCCGTGTAAGCAAGCCCGGAGCGCGAACCGTTGACGTTTAGAGACCGCCTGCGCAGACTCAGAAGGCCGGGAGCGCGAGGCCCGGGGGGCTGAGCAGCTGCGTCCTCCCACCGGAAGAGTCCGATCGGAACCAGCTCGGGGCAGAAGCGAGTCCGGGCTTAGGGAGCCGGTGCCCGGCGCTGCGTCCTCCGCAGAAACCGTCCCTCCCCGGCTCCCTTCCGGATTACGGCTCCTTGGGGCCGCCCGGACGCCGGAGCTCGGAGGGACCCGCCGGAGCGAGCCACCGCCTCGGGAGCGCGTGGGCGCCGCGTGGAGGCGGGGGGGGGGGCGGGG